ACCAATTCACTGGCAAATTTTCACGCGCAAGAGTGGAAAATGCAGGATATGAAGAACAGATAAACTAACGCACGATCAGCAGATAATCTATTTACAGGACTATGTGCAGCTTCGGAGAATCAAACAAGGAATTCCAACCTTAAGTCAAGACAATTGCCCAAAGAAGAGCGGAAACAGAAACAATTCACTGGCAGATTTCACGCGCAAGAGCGGAAAATGCGTGAAACTGCGCACAGTTAATAGACTTTCGTATAAGATAGACATATTGACTTGTCTAGGACTCCAAGCTTGATCAATATGCCCCAATAAGCCATGCACAGGACGTGTATTCAGTTTTTGGCCAAGTGAAATCTTTAATCTACATTTGCGTTGCATGACTTGCTCTCGGCAACAATTCGCATCAGTTGCACATGAACGAGTTGCTGCTACATTTCGCATTCAAGCTGAAATAATTTGTTAATTATAACTAAAATTTTGCACAACTTTTGTTGGCCACTTGATTTCCGGCTGCTGAGCAAAGAAACGCACGGCAGACACATAATCGAAAGGCAACTAAATGAATCCTGAAATTGCAGTTGCAACAATTTACAACAAAATAAAAGGGGTGGAAAATGGGTGGAATTGAAAATCAAATAGTTGGTTTGCCAGCAAAAAATGCAAATTTCTCGTTCGGGCCGCGATAGCCAAATGTAAATGGAAACCAAATCGAAAAAATTGATTGAAGTGAAGGCTTCCTATATAGAAAAAAGATATATATATATATATAGAATAATGGGAAAGTAATGAGACTGTCCGCAGCATAACTGGTTGTTCAAGGCTGGGCCGCAGCTGACGCCGAGTTCTCGAATTTATCTATCGGATTTAGATGCTTTGTGGACGTCATTATGTTCTATGCCAAAGACAAATTGGGAATTTATTGTTATTGCCAAAGCAGAGAGAGAGAGAGGGAGCGAGAGAGAGGGAGGGAGTTGGAAGGAAGGAAGGAAGTCTGCGTCCAGTCCGACTGAATATGCATAATAAAAATGTCAATCAATGGACTGCAACGAGAGAGAGTCCTGCGAGTCCGGTTCGGTTTCGTCTATAATTGAACATAAACATTGCATTCAAGTAGTAATTGTTCAAATTTTATTTCATGCAGCCTAATCCCATAAAGCGCACCCAACGTGGACACCACAGAGAAGGTCAGCAGGTCGACCCGTCCGGCTCGTTAAGCAGGACATTTGTATGCGAAGCATTTTGTGGCATAGTTTTGTATTTTTCCCAGGCACAGCCCATAGTCTTAAGCCGAGTTCCATTTGCCAGTGCACAGACAACGTCTTTTGTTTCAGTTTCAATTCTGTTCTGTTCTGTTCTGTTGATTCAAGGACTTTGGCTAACGAAAAAGGATAATTGGGAGCATGGAACCCGAAGGAACATCAAATGGTAAATTTGAATTGGCTTCGACTTGGTAAATGGCAGCGTAATGCGTAAGCAAACAGACGTTAAATGCAAAGAAATCAATTGGCGACAACTCGACAATTGCTAAGCAGAATAGAACAGAAGCCAAGATCAACAAGATGATATGGATAAATATTCAAGGCAGAGCAGGAAAAGTGAACATTTAGCAACGGATACGAATCAATAATGGAATACAGATCAATTATTTCTGATTAAAAGAAAAGGCCTAGCCAAGCGAACATAGAGGAACACATTTTTTTATTTGTTTGATTTCTTTTGCCAGGAATCTAGCAGAAATATTGACTACAACCTGACAGGTAGAATATATCTAGAGGCCAACCTTAGTCAAACAGACTAAGTTTAAGTTGAAAAAACACGTCCCGAATAAATTATCACCAAGTACTTTGAAAATTAGCTTGCATTTCCGTGCATTTTCCACACTTGCGCGTGTAATTAGCTAAATTCCCTTCTTAGCGTGGATTGGCATAATATCTCTTCCCAGGCCTTAAAGTTTTGGCTGTGCTTGGATTATGTTAATCAGTCAGTCGGAACAAACAGTTTTTTATATAAAGATTGGCCTCGGAAATGTCTTCCTCCTTGCATTACCCTTTCCGTATTGAAATTCAAATAATGTATGCAAGGGTATAATTTGCCTCCGTTCTGTTTGCCTCCAAAAATATTTGATTAACCTAACTAACTTCTTACAGCACATCCTGCTTCACTTTTTTTACTTTCTATATAAAATATTTGAGCTTCTCTCTGGTAAAACAGAGCTTCCTTTTGTTATGCATACGCCTAATGGGCAAAGTTTCTATCAAAAATTAAGGCTCAAGCTTCCGCCCTAAAATACGGAATCAATAATTAATGCTGGAACTGCGGCAAATTCTGGGAAGTTGCTCGAGAGACGCGCCTTCTGCATAGCAGAGCAATTGACTGGATATCCTTGTGCAGGGAGGACACATGACTCCTGAAACGGGAAAAACACACGCACACGCACACACACACTCGCACACACACACACGGGAATGGAAATTAACACGTAGTTTAGCGGAACTTTCGGCAAGTGCAACAAAAGTCGAAGTCGCGGGCGATTCAAATGAAAATCCGCAATGCAGCGGAAGGAGCAAGGACAACCCACCTGTGCGTGTGTAAATGTGTGTGAGAGTGTGCGCAACAAGTGCGGAAATTCCTGAATCGCACACATGTGGCACGCACATGTCGAACGGGAAAAAACCGTGCGATGCTCGGTCCAAGGAATTCCCCGAGCCAAGGGAAGTCCGACCAACACGCCCAAAAGGCGACAATTATGAGTACCTGTGACTGTGACCGGTTAACGGTGACCCCGTGACCGGTGACCGGTAACCCCGTGACCGGTGATTTGAGTGGAGTGGAGTGGAGTGGAGGCTGGCTACGTGCCTGGGACGTGCCTCCCAGATTTGAACGGAACGTGGGAAAAAAGGATTTACGATGCTGTTGCCGATGACGTGCCTGGTCATGGTCATGGTCACACTATGTGTGTGTGTGTGTGTGTGCGGGCTTACCTGTTGCATGCACATGTTAAAAAGTCATCATAAATCTCAGCCAGAAGAGTGTGTGTGAATGTTGGAAAACGCGTTTTCACTTTTCATGCAAGTGAGTTTTCGGTGTCTATGTTTGTCCTATCTATGGAATCTGTGTAAATTCCCGGCTTATCATGCAAAACACGTACCCACGTACCCATTTCTGATCCTTGGCTAACTCTTGAGCTGCTTGCTACTCCTTTTGTGCAACATTTTGTGGCCATTTCCCGCGAACTGCATTTCCCTTCCAGTTGTGGGCTTAGTCTGCCTCCGGATCACGCAAGCACCGAAGTCTTAATAATTTGTATAAATATTTATTTTTGCTACCGATTTTTATCTATCACCAAGGTGTGCTACCTTGCTCCCTTCCTCTCCTTCTCTCCTTCCCTCTCTCTCTTTTGAAGGTGTGAAATTTAATGCCACTTGGCATCGATCACTTTACCGAAGAAGAAGGCAGCGTTCGGGGCGTTCTTTAGGACATGTTTTGCATTGCTGAGCAAAAGGCGACACGTTTCTCAACTCATTTGCATTTCTCATTGATTTCATCGAGGCATTCCAATAGAATACACCTGCTTTATAAGGCAGAGGGTCTGTCAACTCAATTGTGGCACGCTTCAAAGAAGAAGACAACGTTTGAAGCTCTTCTTCCTGTGGCAGCTAAGTATTTAGCTAACATATATTCCCATATGAAGTACCCAAATGCAGTCGAACTTTAATCTTAATGTTAAGTTTGAGTCAATCCTTTTTTTATTACAATTATTTATGCAAACAAAATGTTTGGTACTCTGATTAAATTTAAAATGTTGATTTAATAAAGAGAAGTATTTATTTAATTTTAAATGTTCAAAAGTAGGACAATCCAAAACTTAAAAAAAAATTGGGTCACGAAACGATTCCAAAGCCAACGCATTGTTTCGAACCCTTTTTCGTTTTTTGGGGCTTTAACATGGTAATCAACGAAACGATCTAGCAGAAGCTTCTAAAACCAGAAAAATATAAAAAAAAATTATATCTCTTATATCGAGCAATAGACAGAAGAAATAGGACTTTCATATAGATGTAGCCCTATTCCATTCATCAATCCATATAAGCATTGAAACCATAAGAAAGTTTAAATATATAACGTTAAGAATTCAAAATCTTACACGCTTTATATGCAAAGATATTTCTGCATAACCTGATTGAAAAACAAAGAAAGTTCGCAAAGTGAAGGTCGATCGAAACGTTTCCCTAGAACAATGAACAACTGAAAGATTTCATCACGACGCGATCTTGGCGGCAGGTTTAGTCAGTGACAGTGGTAAAAAACGATGAATCATACCGTTATGCGTTGCCCAAGACGTTGCTCAACACATTGCCAGATGATTAACTAAGCGCACATTACGCATAATCAATCGATCCGGCAACACAACGGAATACACGCTCAATTGGCTAGTCAAATGCACAAATATAGCTGTGCTTTTTCTCTTCTTTTTTTTTTTCGTTTGCAAGGCATGAATGGTATCAATGGAATGCGCCTAAGAAGTTTGAATACCGAATGAGATTCAAGTTTAAAAGACCGGATTTGCTGGACATGCAGCATGTTGCAGACTGCCAGAAATGTACTCTTATACGCTTACGCTCTCGAACCACAAAACGAAAACACAACATGCAACATGTTTGAGGCTAGTTGGAGCAATGCAGCCAAGCGTGCGCTCTCTCTGCGTCTCACGCTCACTTAATTCAGCTCTGTTAGCTTGTTCAAATAAATTACTTAAATTGGTTAAACAATTCAACAACTACTTTTATTTAAGCAAACCAATTTTAGTTATTCTTAAGTAGAAAATTCACGATTGCACGGAAATGCAGTGACAACTTGGTTGCAACCGGCTTGGCTCGACATGTTGTGTCAACTCTCTCGCCTCACCTGCCTGTTCGATGGCAACCCACCCCCAACGTATGCGAGAAGTTGCGCGGCCAGCTATTTAAAGAGCGCACTTGCTTGGAGCTGCTTTAGTTGCGTGCGAGACGCGAATGCGAGAGCATCGTGAGAAGAAATAAGAAACAAATTTAAAAATAAAGAAATTGAATTGCGTGAGACTCGGATTCAGTTAACGGCTGCGGAACGATATAAACAACAAATTCGAAAAAGAAAATATATTAATAATATCAAGTGCGTGTGCAGTGCGCGTTGCTACAAAACAAAATTAAGAAAGCCAAGAAAATAGCAAATAAAATTTCGCTCTATGCTCAAAATGAATTTTATGAGCATTAAAACAAAGTTCAAAATTTTCAAGCAGCAGCAAAAACAAAGTGAAAAACTACAACAACAACAACAAAAATACTCGAACTGAAGCGGCAATTGGATTAAAAGCGAGCCCCCCTTTTTTTTGGATAAACAAGACGAAGGCGATACCAAAAATAATATTATACAAAAATTCAACAAGAAAATACATAAAGGTAAGAGGAAGACGGCAAACCGCAGCAAGTTTGACCTTAATGAGAAAAATTGCAATAGAAATTGTCACAGACAAGCAGAAAAAAAAAAAAAGTGTGAGAGAAAAAAAACTGAAATAAGTGCAGCGAGCGGGGCGGGCAGCGGGTCGCGTGCAACAACGCGTAATGAGTTTGTTCAACTCAACAGTTGTTGTTGCAAGTTGTGTGTTTTTTTATTGTTGTTGTTTTAGGGGTGGCAAGGTGCAAGTGTAGCAAAAAATGCAAGCCTGAGAATGCAAGCGAGAGAGGGAGAGCCAGAGGGCATTAGCGAAAGGGTCATGTGAAACAATGCGGCGGCAATTGGCGTTTGACCAGCGACGAGTTTGAGTTAATTTCATTTCATACGCAACATGTCTACTGTCTGCTGCTGCTGCCGCTGCCGCTGCTGCCGTTAATTGGCAAACGTGCAACACGCGAGCCGCAACAACAATAATTTCAATTTTTCATGCTGTTTGCTTATTTGGTGCAGCTTGCGCAAAATGTAAATGTTATAAAAAAAAATTAATAAATTAATTAATTAATAAGCAGCGGCTGCGATTTCGTGCCATATTGAAATGCCACACACACACACACAAAGACAAAAATTTGAACAGCAACAACAAGAACAACTAACGGCCCCCGCTTGCTGCTAGGCAACCAAGCAAGACAACAACAAACATGCACAGTTAGAAGTGCGCTGCGAGCTTCGGTTCGCTCCCACACACACATACACACACACAGGCGGACACATAAGCATAATTACAATAACAACTAAATAATGAGAGTGAGCGAGCGAGCAGCAGCGCAGCGCTGAGCGCGACTTTAAGACGCGCCAAAGTTAATGTGTGTACGGCTGTGTGGGTGGGAGGAAGTGAGCGTAGCTTTTAATGTATGTGTGTTGTGCAATGGCAACCGTTAAATTAAAAACTTCAGCTGTTTTATTTTTTTGCCTATTGTTGAGCGACTTAAGAAAAGACAGAATTTAAGTCAATTTAGGCGTGCAATTTGAGTGAAAGAAAGATTTCATTTCAATTCAAATACAATTCGATTTGATTTCTATTTCTATGTTGCTTGTGGGGTGCAGCCCACAAAAATGTCATTATCGTTTTCGCTGCTGTTGCTGGTAATTGAAACGAATGCGATTAACATAATTTGTAGACAACACGAAAAATGACAACAATTTCGTTTATTAGCTGATTGGTTGGCCCATTAGCTCTGCGGCCTTCACATTGTTGTTATTGTTGTTGCAACAATCTTTAAAAGCCATTTAGTTATGTCTTGGGCCAGTTAAAATGCTGCAGCAAACTTTGTGCATTAAATGAAAATTACATAAGCCCATAACAGGGGAAACTCGCTAAAAGGGACACACAGTTCATTTATTAAGAAAATAATATTTTTTTAAGATTTTCTGCGCTTAAAGTTATTCAAAATATTGATACTAACAAAATTTCGCTGGCTAAAACAGATGTCCGCAGCTAGAAACTGGTCGTTAACAGAGTTTATACTGTACATAAAAATAGTTTAGGACCACGTCTCTTCAACACTTCCAGCCTGCCACACACTCAATCCAAGTGAAGTTCCGTTTGCTTCCAAATACACAAAGAACACAACTAAGTGTGTTGCGGGGGCGTAAGCGAGGGGGGAGAGGGGAGAGAGGGGCGCGTTAAGAAGTGACGTCGCCTTCAACTATTTTCCCGACGTGCGCCTTTGGCTAATTTTAGTTGCCAACCCGCCCTTAACGAGGGGGCGGGGCGGGTCGGGGCGGGGCAACTGGGTAGCAAGCACCAAGAGCAGACCATCAAATTTTATGGGCCTCAGGCCGGAGATGTTACTGCTGACCTACATACAAACAAACATACAAACAGACAATCGGATAGTGAGGGAGGGGTGTGGGGGAAGAAGGAGCGGAGGTTGCTGCAAGCGGAAGCAAGGGAGGGGGGAGCCTGGTACGTCCGCTAGGAATGCAAGTCGCAAGTTCTGAACGATAAACAATTCGCTGGCAGAAAGAAATTTTCAAGTTTTGTAATTGTTGTCATGCCCTGTAAACCAAAGTGACAGAATGGGTATATTGGTTTGAAGAAGACTTGAAAATAAAATCGTGCAACCGCCCCGAAATTTGCAGTCTAGACTTACTACAAGCACAGTTTGGAAGTCACAGCCGCTGCGCTTACAGTTTTGGCTTCACCCAACAAAATGTCGCCTTGCAAACTGTTTTATGCCGCTTTTACAGGGTATTGTGCAGTCGATACTCATTTGTTGTTATTGCTGTTACAACGCGCTTGTTTTATGAATAATTTATGTACCTAATTGATTTTTTGTTTATTGTGCGCTACACTTAATTAATTATAAACTTTTTTCGCTCGCTTCTTTCAGCGCTGCCTACAGACAACAAGAAGAAGAAGAAGAAGAGAGGAAAAAAACACAAGCAAAGAAAAGACTTTTGTAAAGCGCATAAATAAAAATGGAAGCCACAACAAACAGCACAGAAAGCCACACAAAGCTGCAGCTGGAGGAGGAGCAGCAGCAGCAGCTGGAGGCGCCACAAGCGGCGGCGGCGGCAGCGACGGCGGCGACAGCAACAACGGCGACCATCATTGACATTCCAGCGACTGCTGCAATCACCTTCGCCTCCAGTTCCTTCGCCTGCTCCTCCTATGACACGGACTGCAGCACGGCGAGCAGCACATGCTGCACCCGCCAGGGCGAGCACATTTACATGCAACGCGACAAGCTGCCTGCAACAATAGCGGCCACAGCAGCCGCCGCAGCAGCAGCGACAGCAACAGCAGCAACAACAACAGCAAATCAACACACAGCCACAGCCTGCAACCTGCCGCCGTTGGAAACGGATGAGTTGATGCTGCTCAAGTTCGAGCACCGCAAGCATTGGCCATGGTTCATTCTGATGATCTCCGTCATTGAGGTGAGTAGGCGCTAAAAGATGAGCGAGAGGGAAGAGAGAGAGAGAGAGAGAGTTGTCACTCTATTCCATTTATTTCCAAACGTTTCCAAGTGAACAAATGCATTGGTGTTTCATTTCCGCTTGTTCCCACATGTCTGCTCCATCCGCACATCCTATTCTCCATTCCAGTCCACTTTCAAGGTGTCAAACTTTGATAAGTGTTTCATTTCCGTTTGTTTTCCAAGTTTCAACATTCCAAAGTCACCTGGAACTACTAGTTCACAATTGCTATCGTTCCATTTCCTTCTGTCTTTATTGAAGTGTACAAAACAGCAGCCTCTCATAGATAATAGCCTGTTATGGTAGTTGTTGTTGTTGTTGCCGTAGTTGATAATTTATTATTATTATTGAATCAAAGAACCGCAAAATGCAATAAAAATTCGTTGAGGAACTTTACAAATTCTCAACTTCCAACTAAAAGCGATAAAATTTGCTGCTTTCTTTTGCGCATTCTTACACAAACACACACACACAGACACAGACGCACCGACACACACGTCTCTGGCTGCCTGCCTGGCGCCCCCAAAATCGATTGTAAACAAGCTACAACAACATGGCGAGCATAATAAAAACTAAACGAAGAAACAGACACAATAAGTGCGAGCGAGCGAGCGAGCGAGCGAGCGAGAGAGTGAATGATTGAGCGAGACTGTGTGTCAGAGCGAGCGCGCGTCAGTTTCAACGTAAGCCAAAATAAAGTTGGCAGGACTAAGCAGCGCGCCGTTATATATGTGCACAGCCTTTTGTGTGTCTGTGTGTGTGCGTGTGTGTGTCATCTATTTGGGACACGAGAAGTTCGACGTCGCGTGTTGCGACAACAACAACAACAAACATAAATCAGAAGCAACCCCAATTCCAATTGCAACTCCAACTCCAAACTTTAGCTAATGCCTCTTCTACTTGTTTTTCCCCCCTCCCCCCCCCCCTTGCAGATTGCAATCTTCGCCTACGACCGTTACACAATGCCCGCCCAGAACTTTGGCCAGCCGGTGCCCATACCCAGCGATTCGGTGCTGGTCTATCGACCCGATCGTCGCCTGCAAGTCTGGCGATTTTTTAGCTATATGTTCCTGCACGCGAACTGGTTCCATTTGGGCTTCAATATCATCATACAATTGTTCTTTGGCGTCCCGCTGGAGGTGATGCACGGCACCGCACGCATCGGTGTCATCTATTTGGCTGGCGTCTTCGCCGGTTCGCTGGGCACCAGCGTTGTCGACTCCGAGGTGTTCCTGGTGGGCGCCAGCGGCGGCGTCTACGCCCTCCTGGCCGCACATTTGGCCAACATCACGCTGAACTTTGCGCACATGAAGTCCGCATCCACGCAGCTCGGCTCTGTGGTCATTTTTGGTGAGTACCACAAAGCGAATCCTGCTCCTTTTGACAGCTCAACTAACTGGCACCCGTTGCTTCTTCCTTTGCTCTTCTCTCCCGCAGTCTCCTGCGATCTGGGCTATGCCGTCTACACGCAGTACTTCGATGGCGCTGCCACGCCCGCCTTTGCCAAGGGTCCGCAGGTCTCGTATATAGCGCACCTGACGGGCGCTCTGGCCGGCCTGACCATTGGCTTTCTGGTGCTCAAGAATTTTGGACATCGGGAATACGAGCAGCTGATCTGGTGGCTGGCGCTGGGCGTCTACTGTGCCTTCACCGTGTTCGCGATTGCGTTCAATCTTATTAACACGGTAACCGCACAGCTGATGGAGGAGCAGGGCGAGGTGATCACACAACATTTGCTGCACGACTTGGGCGTGTCCTAAGCAACAAGGCAGGCAAGCCAAATAAACTAAAAGATATTCAAAGCAGGAGAGAAACATAGACAAAAAACAAAAACAAAAATAAGAAAATGAAGAAAAAAAAACTAAGAGAGTTAGAAAGTTCACTCGAAAAAGTGATTTTAGTTCCAAACTAAATTCGAAATTCGTTCGGCTTAACTTTTCGTTCCGTTCCGTTCCGTTCCGTTGCGTTCCGTTGCGTTAATCGTAGGCGCGTTTCATTTCCAACATTTCACGCAGAAAGAACCGAACAACAACAACAACAAAAACAACAACAGCAAAAAATCACTCAAAGAACGGGCCGAAACGTGTAAACAAATGTTGTGATAGAACCAAAGACTGAATTTATTTTGCGTGTAAAAAAAAAAAAAGAATTACCCCCACCCTTAAAAGCAGCCCCTAAAAACAAAAAAAAAAATCAATACAATAAGGGGAAAAAACTATAACTAATCGCCTCTCGCTATGATTTCCTATTTAATGTTTATAATGTTTATAATTTAATAGTTTTCTTTTTTTATCCCCTACTTCTCTTGTTTGTTTCTGTTTAATTATGTATTTAATAATACTTATTAATAGGATTTTGCGATTAAATGAATTTGATCCGAACAATTTTTGTTTATATTATAGACCATTTAATTTATTTAAATAAATCAAACAAGCCCCAAAAATTCTAGATATATATCTATGCATAACTAGACTATAATTAATTGTTTCAAATTGTAAATATTATTAAGTCGCACACTAGTCAAAAGGAAAACAACAACGAAAAAAAAACATGCAAAAGCCACAGCAAACAGTAATTAAAAATTAAATCAAAGCCACTAAATGCGTTCAACATTTACACACAAATATATTTATTAAAACAAAACCGTAAAGCCAAAGATAATAAAGAAAAACAACAACAAAAATATATCAAATTAATTGTAATACAATAAAATGCGAGCATTTTTTTCCTCAAATTAAAAACATGGTAATTTGAGAGCAAAAACCATTTTCAACTAATTAATTACATCTTGACATATTCACCGACAAATACGATTACTATATATAAATATATATATATATATCAAATATTCACAGATAAAAATCAAGAGTTAATCTAGCGTAAAAATCAGCAAAGCGTAAGCCAAAAAGTTAAACCCCCCCCCCCCCCCCCCCTCCTTAATCACCCCACTCAAAACATATGTTAAAGTAAAAGCTAAGCTAAAGGAAGTAGTTGTGACCACGCCCATTATACACTGTACGCCCCCAATACCCACTCCCCCCCCCCCCCCCCCCCCCTAAATGTGCACATGTTTGTGTCAAGAAGAAGACAACAAAAATAGCAATGAAAAAAGAAAAAAAAAAACAAAAAACAATAAATTAAAATTTGAACAAAATAAATGTCTAAATTATAAATGAAATAAAACGAGTATTTTTGATGTGAATGAAAATTCGTTGGGCTGCATTTTCCGCAGAGGAAAATTCATTTTACAGGGGGGGGGGGGGGGGGGGAACAGGAAAAAGCAACTGTGGCCGAATCCTTGCGGATATAGAGAATGGAAATATATCTCTATTAGATATACGAAGGAGTTTTTCTATAAAAAAGTTAATTTTACAGCCAGTTTTTCCTATGGGAAATATATTATATTATATATATATTATATTGCGAATTTGAGTTGGGAATTCAATTTTGCTTACTTGAAGCTTATTTTGACTTTTTATCAAAATAAATAAAATAGGCGCAATAAATCTGTCATCAACAGATTATTCAAATATAAGCTTTAAGTTAGTCTAGTTAAGGTAGTCTGAATATGATCCAATTATCTTATATGTCAAATATTGCCAAGAATTCATAGAGAACGAGAAAGTAAGAACATCTTTGGTACACCGAAGATTTAATACCCTTGTAGACATTTTTCTTTTGCAGATATCTGAGAATAGTGAAGCTCGTTTACGCTGAGTATTTACTTTTTACCATGAACCGAAAATTGGATCAAAGCAGTTGTCAAGAGAACAGCCAAGTCGAACATTTCTTTAAAAATAAAAGATTTGAACCGAACCGGATTTAGTTTTTAATATGAACCGAAACTTAAATTAAAGAAGTTGTCCGAAAAGCAGACATTTAAATTTAAATAAATGAAAGATACAGCAGCAAAGCACAAATAGCCTTGGCCCCAACAATTGGATTTATCCCACCATATTAGGTAGCTGTCAATTTTGGTTAGAGCTCAAATATAGCCCGCATTTTGTATAGGAATATAATTAAATAAGTCTGACAATATTTTCCATACAGCGGGCATTCGTTAATTTAAAAATGAATTGTTTTATGAATGAATCAAAAACTTGGTTTCATTGATTTAGAAAAATGAATGAAACTAGAACCAGGCAGTTCTTTTGAGCCGTGAACTGAACCAGTTTCTTATATTTTTGAGTATTTTTGAAAAAAAAAGCTGAACTGGAAAAAAGTTTTGATCATAACAACTTTATCATCTACCAGTGCGAATCGAATATCTCTAAAACAGAAACTGATCTTTGCAAAGTTTCAGCAGTTTAAACTGAAAGAAACTTCACTGAAAAGCAAGCTGGCAGATAAGTTAGGATAAGTTAAGCTTTAAGAAACCAACTACCGACTATTTGTTCTATATCATCAAGTACAAGGTGGAGTTAGTTTAGCTTGGATCGATATCCAATGCATAGAAAAATTGGCCCAACGCAGAAAGAAAAGCAATCTGATCTCCGCAGTTGGCGGCTTTTGAGTAGCTTTTGAGCTGTTGATTTCCTTCTAGATGGGTTTTTCTCGCGATGAAGATGCAACTTTGTTGGTCGAACTGTGTGTGTGTGTTGACGTTTGTGGCCCGTATTTGTTGGCATTGGGGCTGTAAAAATAATATGCCGCCCCATTTGGGCAAAACACTTGACGCGCCACTTGGTTTGCCCTCTTACGATCGTTGATCTTTGATACCCACTTGAGGCGGGCAGCCACCGGGCAGCTTCCTCAGTTGAGCCACTCGATGCGAACGGGCGTACCACCTTTCCACAAACTGGCAACATTTTGGGGCAGGTGGGATCTGGGGCTGCCCGCTGACTCGACAACACAATCGCCAAAGGCGAACGCATCGTTGCAGCGCCTCGCGGCGGCGGCGGCGGCGGCGTTGATTGAGTTGCACCTGCCATTCGCAGAAACAAGCCGAACGGCTTCTGCCAGGGACACACACACACACACACACACAACTGTGTGGCAGGGCCAACAGAGAGCGAGTGGAACAGGGGGGAGGGAGGGAGGGTGGGGCTTATGACCGACGCCCGTTGCTCGCGTTATTTATGTGGATTTTTGGCTCAACTCGAGTCAAGTCGAGTCGCCTGGCGGCGTCTGTCGACGTGGCTGTCGTTGACATTTGCCTGAATTTCAATTTGATGCGACGTTAACGTGGACGACGAGGCGGCAGCTTCTGTCTGCCGCCTGCTGCACATAAATCTCAGCTGTTTGTACACTCAGCGAAAACCCAAAGCTATTCTATCATAATTACTCATACTAAAAAAAAACTGGCTAGCTTTTGCTCTAAGAACTCACTTAATAGATTTAATGCTGATATTAGATTTGGTTGAAGAACTTTTTTACTTAAGCCAAGCTTTTTTACTCTTACTTCTAGTACATTAACGCTTGATTCTAGTTCTTGTTATAAGATCTGCTGCAGTTGTGTTCAAATTTTGTTTAAGAACTTTCTGAAACTAAATCTTACTTCAAATCAAATATTATTTGGAGATTAAGTTACTTCTTGCTTAAAGTCCATCAAATATTATTTCAAGATTAACTTAAAAAAATTCATAAATTAAGCCCAATATCGTCTAAAAGTAAAAAGAAACTAAACATTTTTCAACTATAAGTCAAAGTTTTAGATGAGATCAGGTTTAATTTACGAATTTGTTGAACTTTATCTTCACATAATTATTGATTAATTTAAGAATCTGTTAACTTAAAGCAAGTAAAATCTTACACCAAGCACATTCCCTTATAACTCAAGACTAATTTGACTTTATGACTAAGATATCCTACATCATTTTTTCCCAACAGCATAATTTCAGTTTTATTTTAAAGTGAAATTAACATTAATTTAAGCAAGATTCTTTGCTTAAAGAAAACTTGCTTAATTCTTTCTTTAAAAACTTTAAATCTGACTTCAATTATTGATTTAAAAAATCAAATATAAAAATGAATAGCTAAAAAACTTACCTGAAGTATTCAATTGAATGCAATCAAGTAGATAGATTTCTCATATGAAGAATTTAAATGCTGAAAATAAGAAATCACAATAAGAGCGTCAATTATTCAAAATCTTGATCTAAGAACCTAAGGCCTTAAAATAAGAACTATTGTACTTCATTAATCCCAAAGCAGTTCTATAATTAGACATTTTTTACAAAGCTTGCGCAAATGTTGTTCCCGCTTTAACTTGATTTAAATACAAAGTGCTTAGTTTTTTCTCTGAGTGTATAGCTATAGCAGGAAAGGGAGGTTCTCAAGGCGCAAGAAGCAACATAATCCTGGACGCTGAGCCGCCCCCAAAGCTGTTGCGGACATTTGTTCTCGAGAATGACAATGACCACAAGACCCAAACCTCTGGCTCTGACTCCACTTTGAGTATTAGCCGGGGTGTGTCTGTGTTTGGATTGTATAATTGGCAATGATACGATGCAAATGCAGTTATAATTGGCAGATGCAATCAACTGTTTCCGATTATGGATTCTGACCAGATGGCAAATGTTATGAGCGTCATTTTCTGCTTCTTTGATTATGCAGACTTTGATTATGCTTGGATATTTAATTAATATGCAGTTATATAATTCACAAACGAATAATTATTTTATTGCCAATTGTAGGAGATACACATCCCTAAAAGGACAAAGGAAGTAAAGGGCGGGAAACGGCAAAAGCAGGGGAAGGTAAGAGAAATAAATTGAGAAACAGAAGTGAGAGAGAGAGAGAGAGCGATACACTGCAGAAGAGTATAT